TAAGTGGCTGATTAGTTTAACTTCTGGTTTGCTAGTAGACTGAATTATTTGTGTTCTAAAATTTTCGTCATTATCAATTTCCATCTCTGCCATTAAGCGTTGTGGGAAGGAACAGTTTGCAATCAACAGACTGATGGGCAGCAATGGCTACTGTCATTCTGTGTTGATGAAGAAACTCTTTAATGTCATCTTCTCCTAGAGTGGCTTCTTGCATTTACTTCAGATCTCTTTATGTGTAGTGCCTGCACTGGTAGTTGTTCTGGCTGCATTCTTACTAAATGACCAAACCATTTGATCATCTGGTGCTCAATAAATTTGCTGTGTGATGTTATTCCTACAGTCTGTCTGATGTTGTTCCTACAGTCTGTCTGCTGTTATTCCTACAGTCTGTCTGCTCTTATTCCTACAGTCTGTCTGATGTTGTTCCTACAGTCTGTCTGATGTTGTTCCTACAGGCTGTCTGATGTTATTCCTACAGTCTGTCTGATGTTATTCCTACAGGTTGTCTGATGTTGTTCCTACAGGCTGTCTGATGTTGTTCCTACAGTCTGTCTGATGTTGTTCCTACAGTCTGTCTGATGTTATTCCTACAGTCTGTCTGATGTTATTCCTACAGTCTGTCTGATGTTGTTCCTACAGTCTGTCTGATGTTGTTCCTACAGTCTGTCTGATGTTATTCCTACAGGCTGTCTGATGTTATTCCTACAGTCTGTCTGATGTTGTTCCTACAGTCTGTCTGATGTTGTTCCTACAGTCTGTCTGATGTTGTTCCTACAGTCTGTCTGATGTTGTTCCTACAGTCTGTCTGATGTTGTTCCTACAGTCTGTCTGATGTTATTCCTACAGGCTGTCTGATGTTATTCCTACAGGCTGTCTGATGTTGTTCCTACGGTCTGTCTGATGTTGTTCCTAGTCTGTCTGATGTTGTTCCTACAGTCTGTCTGATGTTGTTCCTACAGTCTGTCTGATGTTGTTCCTACAGTCTGTCTGATGTTGTTCCTACAGTCTGTCTGATGTTATTCCTACAGTCTGTCTGATGTTATTCCTACAGTCTGCCTGATGTTGTTCCTACAGTCTGTCTGATGTTGTTCCTACAGGCTGTCTGATGTTGTTCCTACAGTCTGTCTGATGTTGTTCCTACAGTCTGTCTGATGTTGTTCCTACAGTCTGTCTGATGTTGTTCCTACAGTCTGTCTGATGTTGTTCCTACAGTCTGTCTGATGTTGTTCCTACAGTCTGTCTGATGTTGTTCCTACAGTCTGTCTGATGTTGTTCCTAAAGTCTGTCTGATGTTGTTCCTACAGGCTGTCTGATGTTGTTCCTACAGTCTGTCTGATGTTGTTCCTACAGTCTGTCTGATGTTGTTCCTACAGTCTGTCTGATGTTATTCCTACAGTCTGTCTGATGTTATTCCTACAGTCTGTCTGATGTTGTTCCTACAGTCTGTCTGATGTTGTTCCTACAGTCTGTCTGATGTTGTTCCTACAGTCTGTCTGATGTTGTTCCTACAGTCTGTCTGATGTTGTTCCTACAGTCTGTCTGATGTTGTTCCTACAGTGTGTCTGATGTTGTTCCTACAGTCTGTCTGATGTTGTTCCTACAGTCTGTCTGATGTTGTTCCTACAGTCTGTCTGATGTTGTTCCTACAACTGTCTGATGTTATTCCTACAGTCTGTCCGATGTTATTCCTACAGTCTGTCTGATGTTGTTCCTACAGTCTGTATGATGTTATTCCTACAGTCTGTCTTATCATTTCTAACTTTGTCTCGAATGGTTAAGTTGGCCCATTTTATCAGGCAACTCATTTCACAGGTGTTAATTTTATGTAGGCAAGCCTTTTGATAATGTCAGAGTCTGGCACTGGTAGCCCAGTATTGGATTGAATATGCTGTTTATAATCTGTTTCTTGGCACTCAAATTTTAGATGTCTCAATAACAGTGTCAGCTGGTATATAAGTGCACTGGCTTGGTGGCATCTTGTTTCTATTTCAAAATTTATTCTTCTGTTCTCCGAGAATATACTTCCTAGATATTTAAATTCTTAAACTTGCTTCAGACAAGTACCATTCAACATCATATGCTGCGGACTAGGAAATTATGAAATTGTGTTTGTCTAAAAAGTCCTTCACCAACATGAAAGCTTTGGAAAGCTCCAATACAGAGTAACACAAAGTATGAGAAAACCAATTTTTAGGACACACATGCAGAAATAAAAAAACTAATAGGTGACATCATGTATTTACAGAAAATTTCAATTATTAATATGATCTCAATATACTATGATTATTTATTTATGAAATATGCTCAGTCTAATAAAGAATCAACTCTTGTGTTATGAGAACTAGCTGAAGCCAGCGACCCGATCAAAACGCTTGCATCTTCTCTTAAAAGGAGTTTTGATGCTGCATGACGCCTGTCCCCACATGGCTGTGCATACAGCCCACACGGTATAGACTGCAGTTTGAATCATTGAAATATCCAGCATACAGCTTAAACTTGGTACCATCAGACTTTTATTTGTTTTACTGAAAGAACATTTACGGGTCGGAAGGCATTCCCAACCTTGTGTATTGGTGGACTACATGTGTTGCAAGGCAGGGAGACTATGTTACCAATCCCTTTAACAATTTTGTTAACTGAGATGCTCTATCACAACTAGGTTTTACACAAGGCAGGGAGACTATGTTACCAATCCCTTTAACAATCTTGTTAACTGAGATACTCTATCACAACTAGGTTTTACACAAGGCAGGGAGACTATGTTACCATTCCCTTTAACAATCTTGTTAACTGAGATACTCTATCACAACTAGGTTTTACACAAGGCAGGGAGACTATGTTACCAATCACTTTAACAATCTTGTTAACTGAGATACTCTATCACAACTAGGTTTTACACAAGACAGGGAGACTATGTTACCAATCCCTTTAACAATTTTGTTAACTGAGATGCTCTATCACAACTAGGTTTTACACAAGACAGGGAGACTATGTTACCAATCCCTTTAACAATTTTGTTAACTGAGATACTCTATCACAACTAGGTTTTACACAAGGCAGGGAGACTATGTTACCAATCCCTTTAACAATCTTGTTAACTGAGATACTCTATTGCAACTAGGTTTTACACAAGGCAGGGAGACTATGTTACCAATCCCTTTAAAAATTTTGTTAACTGAGATACTCTATCACAACTAGGTTTTACACAAGGCAGGGAGACTATGTTACCAATCCCTTTAACAATTTTGTTAACTGAGATACTCTATCACAACTAGGTTTTGCACAAGGCAGGGAGACTATGTTACCAATCCCTTTAACAATTTTGTTAACTGAGATGCTCTATCACAACTAGGTTTTACACAAGGCAGGGGGACTATGTTACCAATCCCTTTAACAATTTTGTTAACTGAGATACTCTATCACAACTAGGTTTTGCACAAGGCAGGGAGACTATGTTACCAATCCCTTTAACAATTTTGTTAACTGAGATACTCTATCACAACTAGGTTTTGCACAAGGCAGGGAGACTATGTTACCAATCCCTTTAACAATTTTGTTAACTGAGATACTCTATCACAACTAGGTTTTTCACAAGGCAGGGAGACTATGTTACCAATCCCTTTAACAATTTTGTTAACTGAGATACTCTATTGCAACTAGGTTTTACACAAGGCAGGGAGACTATGTTACCAATCCCTTTAACAATTTTGTTAACTGAGATACTCTATTGCAACTAGGTTTTACAAAATGCTACATGGAGAGGACATGGACAATCAATTCATTAAAATGGGTAAGGTACAAAACCATTTGAAGTTTGCTGAATATTTGACTAACATTCACAGAGATGAGGACTCTAAAATACTTTTATGATGCTGCTTCACCTAACTACTGAGATAAAAAATGGTTCTCACAAATCTTTAAAACCATGATTAAATCCTCTTTCTAGTTTCTACAAGACGAAATTATACGAAAATTATATCTGAAACACATAAGCTGGAAGGTATACTGCTTTGAATCAACTGGAGGTTCAATTTAAAATAAACATGACAAAACCAGAAAAGTGTTGGAAATAGCAGAAAGGGGTATGTATATTAATTCATAGATAATTAAATTATCCCTACACTTTCAGGTAATAAATAGATTGGATGCTACTGTTCTTAAGTCCTTTTTGACTTGAACTCAAACATGACATTTGAATGACAAAGATGACTAGTTAACTGAAATTCTGTAGACGGTTTATGCTTTCAGGGAGATACAGACACACGTTACTGGAGTACTGTTTTGTCATAACAATTGTGTGTAGGGGACACTTCAGACACACGTTACTGGAGTACTGTTTTGTCATAACAATTGTATGTAGGGGACACTTCAGACACACGTTACTGGAGTACTGTTTTGTCATAACAATTCTGTGTGTAGGGAGGGAGGGGGGAGGAGGGAACACTTCAGAAACAGGTGTCAATCAGCAACATAAGCCAAAGAATAGCGAGCGGGTTTTCAAAGCAAGATGGTATGTAAGCACAAATGGAAGTTGTTAGCCTAAAAATACTTGGAGACAGGAGGAGATTGGAGTATGGTCATGTCCAAGGAAGAAAGAATTAAATGAACAATGTACAGTTTTTAATCACTGAGAAGAGCATTTTCAAACAAAGCAAATGGCTGACTTTATTATTCTATTCCCCCCCCCCCCCTTTTTTTTCCAAAATAACACAAGTAATATAACAACAGTGATAGAAAGTAACATGAAGAGCAGATTCTATTTGTAGAGACCACGAATTGTATGGTGAGCTGTTGTGTGCCCAGAGAGTTCAATCCTCATGCACAGATTAACCTGAATGAGATATCTTGTACATCCATTAGCTTAGCTTCATTTTCATCCCTTACAAAATTTTTTGTTTGTTCAATTGTGAACTAATATTTGCATTGCAATGTACTTATATTTATCGTAAGGTGACAATACTTCTCCCAATAACTACAGAAACTTATGTACACAGATAAACTTAATTGAGATAACCTCTACATCCTTGAGCTCCACACAAACATGGGATTTTAACTTCTTCAAATGGGAATTTATAATCATAAGTAATCTCCTCATTGACATCAATGTCTCTTTTTGAATATATAACAATCTTTTTCTGTCCATCAACAGTGATGATCTTTGCATAGCAGTTTGGCTGTGAACAAAATTGTAAAGAGAGATTATTTTAATGTTACCTAGTTAAGATCACATACAGTAACTAGCATTCAAGAAAATAAGCAATGTTTTAATGCATGATCAGGGGGACACCCAAATGGCAACAGCAATGAGAGTGTTTCAATAAACAAGACAAGACATGCTGTTTGAATTCATGTACTTGTTTGACCCCGTGACCCCTGCCATGTCAATAAGAGTGGAAGGCTTTCATTTATTATCTCACATAATTAGCCAAACTCACAAATCAGGTTATTCTGACTGAGCTACCATATCATAAAAGTGGCACTAGCTGTTCTCTGTTGATGCCAAATGTTAGGTGGTGTACACCACACCTTAAATACCTCTTAGTGTCAACTGCTGTCAGTTGAGCAGCCATTTATAACTGCTGTCAGTTGAGAAGCCATTTATAACTGCTGTGAGTTGAGCAGCCATTTATAACTGCTGTCAGGTGAGCTGCCATTTATAACTGCTGTCAGTTGAGCAGCCATTTATAACTGCTGTCAGCTGAGCTGCCATTTATAACTGCTGTCAGCTGAGCTGCCATTTATAACTGCTGTCAGTTGAGCAGCCATTTATAACTGCTGTCAGCTGAGCAGCCATTTATAACTGCTGTCAGCTGAGCAGCCATTTATAACTGCTGTCAGCTGAGCAGCCATTTATAACTGCTGATACTAGTGGTTGCCTAGAAATTTTTCTGATTTCTTCACTCCTTTTGAATTGACATCATCAATTTTACTCAGGCATTCATTTTTAATAAATTTACTCAGAAATACATGCATATTTGAAATAAAATGACACCCACACAAACATTCTTGGTTCTCATGCATTTAACTTTCATTGCATACGTTTAGTGGTTCTCAAACTTCCCACTGGCATATGCATATGCTAAAACAGCACAAACATCTTGGAATACCCACATGACACCCCCACAAACATATCTTGGGTTCTCAGAAATAACATGACACCCACACAAACATATCTTGGTTCTCAAACTACCCACTGGCATACGCTCAAAGAGAAATAAAATGACACCCACACAAACATATCTTGGTTCTCAACCTTCCCACTGGCATATGCTAAAACAGAAATAACATGACACCCACACAAACATATCTTGGTTCTCAAACTATATCATTTAGAGTCCATGTTTTGTTCAAGCTTTGAAAATTTGCTAATACCTTGTCAATGCATGTCTTAAATCCTGTCTGTGTTTCCTTGGCTATCAATATTACTACCTAAATAAGTGTAACTTGATCTGTTACTTTAACGATTTTTGTCTCAAGTGCAACATCTGCTTGATCCGTTACTGGGGGTCTTCAACTGATTCCTAGTCTGACTTTTGATGTTGTTTTTTTTAATCATCTGCTATCTTTGCATGTCGCTGCTGTTCTTACTTGGAAGAACAACATTATCTGCAACATTTGAGATCTTCTAATTGTGTGTTCTACACCCAGTCAATGCCATTGTATAGCTATACCTATAATAGGCAGATACAAATACATCCGTGTTTCACTCCAGTTTCCAGTGCAAACCAATCACTTGAACCATGACACATTGGCACTGCACACTCTGTGCTTTCATCAATGGCTCGAATAATATCCATTGGTAAAGCCACAGCATTCCCACATTCTCAAACAGTGCTTTCTGCCTGAATTATCAAAAACCTTCTGAAAGCTCAAGGTTCAAAATAAAGGGTTGTTGTTTTTTAAAAAATCCCTCTCTGTTGGCCACCTGGAAAAGGCATCTGTTTTGTGGTGTTCTTTAGACAACAGAATCATTAGAGCTAATGTCCCAAGTCTCAAGATAGATGGTAAAACTTCAACAGAGAGAGCAAACTGAAGTATTTGGGAATTACATTTGACAGGAGCCTGTCCATTTAAGGACCATGTGGAAAATGTTGTGACAAGATGCCAAAAAGGACTTAGTGCACTTAAGAGTATGGCTGCTATTGACAGAGCAGAAAATGTTTTTCACACTATATCAGCACCTGATCCTGTCAGAGGTGGATTATGGCCTGGGACTGCTTACCGTCTCAAAGAGTCAGATGGACAAACTAGAGCGCATACAGAACACAGCTATGCGGGTCATTCTGGGTTGCACTAGAGACACCCCAGTGGTGTGTATGCGATACATCCTTGGTTTGCCGATAGTTGCAGGTAGGCACACGGTGCTGCAGGCGAAGTCATATTTCAGGGTAGCTGCAGACACAGACCACCTTCTGCATGAAGCTCTGGGTGCAGTTAAGGGTCAGCGGCTGATAAGAGGGAGGTCATGGATGGCTCAGGCAGAAGACACAATCAGACAGGTTTGCATCCTTGAGAACATTAGGTGGGTCAAAGTGCCACCCAAACAGTCAGACTTGTGTAGACATAATCACGCTGAGCCAGGAATGCAGAGACTGGCCAGCAGGTGCCACGGAGGTTCGAATCCAGTAATATTTTCAAGGTAATGCTCGCTCAGAGGATTTGATTACTTACAGACGGTTCAGTGTTGAGAGGCAAAAGAAGTGCTTAGAATTTCTTAGCAAAAGTTAAAGGTCGATGTTTGGTGCAGGAGTGCCTAGCATATGATACCACAACATACAGCTTGAGAATGGAGGTGGAGGCGGTCACTGCAGCTTTCTGCTGGTAACAGAACATGACACACACACACACACACACATCATGATTGTAACTGATTTAGAAAGCATGCTGATGAAGATCAGGACAGGTATGCTTTGTGTAGAGTGACATGCTTCATTGCAAAGGACACGGGTGAGGAGTATTGCCTGAATTTTTTCACCGGGACACACCTGTATGTTGGGAAATTAACAGGCGGACAGACTGGCTGGCTCTGCACAACTTGGTGGTCAACTGATGCATGATAAGGTAGACATGGCTAGTGCCTTGTGGGAGAGCATGTACAGTTCAGTGCAGCAGACTGATCACCAGAGTCTGGTGAGATTGATGCAGTTGGGGGTGACGAGAGGTTCTGGCAGATGCTCAAGACTCAGAGGAAAGGCAAGATGGATGTTTAATCAGAATGCTACTGGTACCATTAGTATCGGAACTCTTCACTGAATGCCACGAGTGCTGTGATGTCAGTTCTAGAATCAAATAAACTTAACAAATTCCTCTAAGCTATAGCCATATCAACTAGTGATGAAACACTACAAGTTATGAGGGACTCTAATGATAGTATCCAAACGTTAAATGAACCAGACGACTGGTTACATACCTATCTCAAACCATTTCAAAAACCAGGCAGGCATCCCTTACAACTTAGCAGATATAGAATCATTACCTTGCAAAAGGTGTATGGCTAACTGCTGAAAAAATTGTAGCCAAAAAACAACTGATGTCTTTAGAAAGACTGGACCTGCTACCGGACAATAAGTGCAGCTACAGGCCATCTGAGGCAACATGAGACAATGCTGGGATCTTCGTCAGCTACAGGCCATCAGAGGCAACATGAGACAATGCTGGGATCTTCGTCAGCTACAGGCCATCAGAGGCAACATGAGACAATGCTGGCATCTTCGTCAGCTACAGGGCATCAGAGGCAACATGAGACAATGCTGGCATCTTCGTCAGCTACAGGCCATCAGAGGCAGGCAACATGAGACAATGCTGGGGTCTTCGTCAGCTACAGGCCATCAGAGGCAACATGAGACAATGCTGGGATCTTCGTCAGCTACAGGCCATCAGAGGCAACATGAAACAATGCTGGGATCTTCGTCAGCTACAGGCCATCAGAGGCAGGCAACATGAGGCAATGCTGGGATCTTCGTCAGCTACAGGCCATCAGAGGCAGGCAACATGAGACAATGCTGGGATCTTCGTCAGCTACAGGCCATCAGAGGCAGGCAACATGAGGCAATGCTGGGATCTTCGTCAGCTACAGGCCATCAGAGGCAACATGAGACAATGCTGGGATCTTCGTCAGCTACAGGCCATCAGAGGCAACATGAGACAATGCTGGGATCTTCGTCAGCTACAGGCCATCAGAGGCAACATGAGACAATGCTGGGATCTTCGTCAGCTACAGGCCATCAGAGGCAACATGAGACAATGCTGGCATCTTCGTCAGCTACAGGCCATCAGAGGCAGGCAACATGAGACAATGCTGGGATCTTCCTATATGATTTGTAGGACAGATTTCATCAGAGGCAACATGAGACAATGCTGGGATCTTCGTATATGATTTGTAGGACAGATTTCAGCGAAAGCAAAAAACAGCCGCAGTAGCAATAGATTTTGAAGAAGCCTATAACGGGATTGACTTCACTCATCTGATACAGTGCATGATGGAATGTATTGCGATCCCTTGGTTGGCTAACTGGATGGGAGCAGCAGTGTTGGAACAAACAGTGGTATTTTGTTTGGGAACATGGAGACTGGATCCGATATGCATTTGCCCTGGCCTTCTTTAGGGATCACCATTGCCACATGTCTTGTTCAACATATAAGGGGAAGCCAATAAGCAAGTCATAAATACTTATGGGATAACAGGAAAATATAGCTGGTGGTTTCTACAGGTGTCATTAGGTTACAGCATGATGTCTAGCTGATGTCTAGCTGTTGTCTAGCTGATGTCTAGCTGTTGTCTAGCTGATGTCTAGCTGTTGGCTGCTCTAACATTTTACACATTCTTCCAAGAAACTCTTATCTCTGACCATAAGGGACTCTTTTTCCTGTATCATGTAGAGGCAGTTGTGGTGAAATGCCATAAAGGACTCAATGCTCTCAAGATTATGGCAGCAATGGACATGGAACAAAGAATGCTGTTCAATGTTCCAGCATGTGATCCTATCGATGACAGATTATGGCAGCAATGGACATGGAACAAAGAATGCTGTTCACAATGTTCCACCATGTGATCCTATTGATGACAGATTATGGACTTGGAATGCTTACCATATCAAAAAGTCAGCTGATGAAACTTGAACGCATACAGAACAAAGCCATGCGGGTAATTCTGGGATGTACAAGAGATACCCTGGTAGTATGTATGCGATACATACTTGCACTGCCTACTATTGCTGTTAGGCTTTAAGTTCTGCAAGTAAAGTTGAATCTTCAGAGTAGCTGCAGACAAGAAGCACCTCATCGTGCATGAAGCCCTGGGTAGAGCTAAGGGTCACAGACAGAAAAGAGGAAGGTCTTTGATGGCGTAGGCTGAAGACATGATTGGACATGGTGCAGACTCGATCAATTTAAGCGAGGTGAGGAGTGGGTTAAAGTGTTCGAGCAAGTTTCAGACTTGTGTAGAGTTCTATTCATTTTGAGTCGTGAGTGCAGGGACTGGCCAGCTGGTGCTGCAGAATCAGAAGTTAAACAAATGATTCGTGACAATTCCTGCCCAGGTGATGTGATTATCTATACAGATGGCTCTGTGTTGAGGGACAGATGAAGTGCATAGGGGTTTACAGCAAAAGCAAATGGACTTGGCTTGGTGCAGCAAAACCTGGCATATGATATCAAAACATCTAGTTTGAGAATGGAGATGGAGGCAGTCACTGTCAATTCTATCATGCAAACACTGATTTTCTTTGTTTTCAATGTCTTATATATATATCTGAAACTGATTAACTGTGATTTATAGGTGCAAAATTAACAAGTATGATTTTACAAGGAAACTAAATGTGTGTAATAACACTTACATTACAGCTGTGATTTATAAACCTGGCCAAGTTTCCACACTTTGTAGCATCTATGATTGTCTCATTGTCAACTCGAAACAGGTATGAACTTCCTATGCCAGTCTGTTCATAATACTTCTCGCGCAAGTCTGCAATTGGTTGTCTGATTGCTTGCCCTACATACTCAATGACCATCTCATCTGCTGCAACAGGTTCCATGGCAAACAAACCCCAATCATGAATGCCCGATTTTGCAAACCTCAGTTGCTTCTTACGAAACTGAAACAAATTAAAACAAATACAAATAAAAATAAAATACAAATTATCATTAAAATCCACAGACACAATTTATGTCCAGAGCATGGTACTAGCATATCAATCAACTCATGGGAAGTTTTTAGTGAAAAATTGGTATAAAATGCCACAAAGTAAACAGCACTCTGTGTTAATGGCCATTAAAATAAAAACAAAAAGAACAACAGTGATATAGGAAATGTGTAAAACAAAAAAAAAACATACAGAATTTATTACTCAGTACTGAAGGAAAGAGTAACAAGGTGAAAAACAATTTGAAATTCGATGTACAAGCCTGACTGAAATAATTTTCAAGTGTTTTCTTGACAGTGAAAGTATAATGTTCATACATTACAAACATTTTTCAAGTACACTAAATTATTCAGTGAGTCTGAACATCTGACTATAAAACTGCATATCCTTCCTGAGCTGCTACAGATTACTAACTTTTACTGTGCCAACAACAAGAAATTAGAACTAGAATACATCCCAGTAGCCGATAAAAGCCACATAATTTCTTGATGACTTCAACAGTCATTCCCCTAGCTGAGGCTATGCTTCTATGGACACAAGAGGAGAAGAGGTAGAGGAATGGATGGCAGAAAACCTGCTGATACTAATAAATGAACCTGACTCTGAACCAACATTCTACTCTAGACGATGGCGAACACAAAGTACACCGCACCTAGCTATAGCTACAGAAAACATCCAACGTAGGGCAGACAGAGAAGTGATGAAACAGCTTGGAGGAAGTGTGATCACAAACCAGCCGTCGTCTTGATAGGAGAGGTCAAGTGCTACAAGAAAGCAGACTGGGGCCTCTACAAAAACTTCACTGAAAAGAAACTATCGGAACCCTTTCCCACTAATGAGGTTAGAAAAACACCACAACTCTTCATCCGGACAAGATGGCAGGAAAAGAGTGCAGCTCTCCACATGGAGAAAGACAGTAGAAAGCTATGGCAAATAGTAAAGAGTCTCAATGAGGAGAATAATACCAGCCATGCCAACACTGTCACTGAAGAAGGTGGGAAAACTTTCATTGGTAAACAAGCAGCAAACCTGCTGGCTGATAGTTTTGCAGAGGAAAGCAAAATCTTCATGTCTGAGAAGAAGAAGCGACGAGAGAACTGAGGAAAAGCCAGAAGATAACCAAGATATAATGAATCAACTCTTCAGTCTCCAAGAAATTGAATGCGCAATAACAAACCTGCAGAAAAGGACGGCACCTGAACCTGATCGAGTAACAAATGAAATGATAGTACAGTTGGGACCAGCTGGTAGGCAACGGTACAGTCCCCACAGTGTGCCTATCAAACAGGACCACAAACAACTCAGCACATTCTGCAAACCTGCCCACTCTACCTGCAACTGTGAAAAGACACCTCAAGAGCAAAGTGTGCAGAGCAAGCTATGGGGAACCATGAAGACCTGCTACTGACATGCAAGTTCATAGAGGCAACCCACCTGATGCAAGTTCATAGAGGAAACCCACCTGATGGTCTGATCTGAGCATACGAAACCGAACACAAAGAAAAATAAAAAGAAGAAATCATTCTGACTTGATATTTGATTAGCTTTTGGAGGGACATCAAGTAATGATCCATTAACAAAGACTTAATTAACTAGTTACATCAGGCTGATTATTTTGCTTGTGATATTTGTTATTGAAGAAAGCTGTCACAGACTGTATACATTCTGACTACAAACATTTCTTTTCTTTAGAAACAATCAACAATGGTGATATTTCAACATTCCTGCTATCAATTAGAGTAGATCTTAGAGTGCAAACAATTTAACACTAACAAAAAACATTTACATACAATTTTGATTGCACATGTGACAAAACTAAAAAAAAATACATGAATCCATAATAGAATTATGATGAGTTTAGAAAATCAGTTGTAACATCTCACCTTGAGTTGATTAAATTTGAGTAGATCACTGACTTCTAAATTCTCCTGGAAGAGAGCAATAGCTGCCTGTAAACGACGGTTCTCATTGCGGACTTCTCTTGATGACTGTTGTTTCTTCTTAACATCTTCCTGCAATGAATTGTCATCAATCACTCTTTGATTGTTTTACCAAGAAAAGTTGACTGTCTCATTTCATCAGCATCTACATTTAATGATGATGTTGAAAAAAGTGTTTAAAAAAAAATACAACTGATGTCAATTAGATTGATTCAAGTTAATATAATGTTGCTAGCAAGAAGGACAGAATATTTTAAAGAGCTACTTAACCCTGTAAACGAGGTAGATAATATCAATTATAATAACAAAGGATAATCCAAGTAAAATTAACACCTGTGAAATGAGATGCCGGAGAAAAGTGGTCAACATATCCAAACGAGACAAAGTTAAAAAATGATATTACCAGACAAACTGTGGGAACAACACCATGCAGCAAATGTATTATTGGCCATCTAGTAAGATGCAGCCAGAACAGCTACCAACACAGGCGTTACAAATGTATTATTGGCCATCTAGTAAGATGCAGCCAGAACAGCTACTAACACAGGCGGTACAAATGGAAAGATCTGAAGGAGACAACTCACTGATGACAGCTACTAACACAGGCGGTACAAATGGAAAGATCTGAAGGAGACAACTCACTGATGACAGCTACTAACACAGGCGTTACAAATGGAAAGATCTGAAGGAGACAACTCACTGATGACAGCTACTAACACAGGCGGTACAAATGACAAGATCTGAAGGAGACAACTCACTGATGACAGCTACTAACACAGGCGGTACAAATGGAAAGATCTGAAGGAGACAACTCACTGATGACAGCTACTAACACAGGCGGTACAAATGACAAGATCTGAAGCAGAAAACTCACTGATGACTGCTACTAATACAGGCGGTACAAATAACAAGATCTGAAGGAGAAAACTCACTGATGACTGCTACTAACACAGGCGGTACAAATGGAAAGATCTGAAGGAGACAACTCACTGATGACAGCTACTAACACAGGCGGTACAAATGACAAGATCTGAAGCAGAAAACTCACTGATGACTGCTACTAATACAGGCGGTACAAATGACAAGATCTGAAGGAGAAAACTCACTGATGACTGCTACTAATACAGGCGGTACAAATGACAAGATCTGAAGGAGAAAACTCACTGATGACTGCTACTAATACAGGTGGTACAAATGACAAGATCTGAAGCAGAAAACTCACTGATGACTGCTACTAACACAGGCGGTACAAATGACAAGATCTGAAGCAGAAAACTCACTGATGACTGCTACTAATACAGGCGGTACAAATGACAAGATCTGAAGGAGAAAACTCACTGATGACTGCTACTAACACAGGCGGTACAAATGACAAGATCTGAAGGAGAAAACTCACTGATGACTGCTACTAATACAGGCGGTACAAATTACAAGATCTGAAGGAGAAAACTCACTGATGATTGCTACTAATACAGGCGGTACAAATTACAAGATCTGAAGGAGAAAACTCACTGATGACTGCTACTAACACAGGCGGTACAAATGACAAGATCTGAAGGAGAAAACTCACTGATGACAGCTACTAACACAGGCGGTACAAATGAACAGATCTGAAGGAGACAACTCACTGATGACAGCTACTAACACAGGCGGTACAAATGAACAGATCTGAAGGAGACAACTCACTGATGACAGCTACTAACACAGGCGGTACAAATGAACAGATCTGAAGGAGAAAACTCACTGATGACAGCTACTAACACAGGCAGTACAAATGACAAGATCTGAAGGAGAAAACTCACTGATGACTTTAGAGAGCTTCTACATACATGGGCACGTGATGATGATAGCCCTTACTGATCATCAAGCAAACAGATCACAAACTGTTGCTCCCCACAGCACTTAACGGCAGAAGTGGAAACTGATGATGATGATTACAATGAATATAATGTATAAATGTATGCACAAATAATCTTCTTTCCTTCTTGCTGAAAATCTGCTTTGTGTTGCTGGGTGTTGTATTTGTAAAGATGATAAGGATGAGTCAGGGGAGCTGGCCTGCTTGTTATGCTGTCATGTTGTGAAGTCTCAGGCTGTCAATGACTCCTTCAATCAATATTTTCTTCTCTGCCTGTTGTGTTTTCATTTTTATGTTGTATAAATAAATGCAAATTAATATGTCTTTGTGAAGGTGCTGTAATGGAATTACTGACGGACAGTTATAATCAATGTACTACAAGAATAATCAGCATTACTACACATCTACACATATACACAATATCATTAGGCGATCTCATTTGCACGACAGCCCACTGACACTTGTGGACAAAACCGCACTGTTTCTATCATGTACTTTCCCATCCTCTTTTCTACACACCCATTTCCAATTCCTCTGTATCTTCGTGCTTTGTACTAGGCCCTCATCTGGAACCCTTTTCTTCTCCATTTATTATCTTTACCACTATACTGGATCACCGCTCCTTTCCTCTCCTGCTGTATTAATATTTCAGTCAGAAGCAGTGTAATCACATGTGCCAATATCTGCTTCACTGCAACAGCATTTTGAAAGCAAAGGATGTTCAAGTTTAGTCAGTCAAGTTACAGTTTAGTCAGTCAAGTTACAGGTATCTAAGGTGTTTTTCATGAATAAATTCCTGAGTATTTAAAACAGACAAAATCAAACTATTTTTTTTTAAATCAAATTACAGTAGACAGTCAATAAATTCAAGGTACTAAACAAAACAAAACTTAACCCCCCCCCCCCCCCCCCCAATATCTCAAGTGTTAGGAAAATAAATAAAAAACTGTTGCAGGATACCTGCAAACAATTTACATAAACACTGGCAAAAATAAGCTTCTAATCTCCTAAAAGAAATCTTATATTTACACAATACAATGAAACATAAATAACTGACCTGTTTTTCAGTTTCTACTGCTTTCTGTTGTTGGATGGCCAGATTTTTGGTATTACTTAAATATAACATCTTCTCTTCCAGTGATATTTTATAGTAGCCCTCAGTTCGAGCACAGCCTGTTTTTTTTAATAAACAAACACTTTTAACAGATCATGTTTTTGTTTTTTTAAAGTAAACAGCATATCTTCTTTTCTCTTCCCTGTGACAATGATTCCTATAGTTCATAATTAACATGAGATATTTGTCATTGTACTGTGCAAAAACAAACACGTTCGTTCTTATTCGGATGCATCCAAACACTTTGTTTTTGTATATTTTCTAGTTTTTGTAAGCTTTTTGGTTTTTTTCACAAACTCTCCCGCACGAGAGTTCCTTCCCTTCCCATTCATGCAGCGCAACCTTGTCCTATGTTGTGAGGGTGTTATGAGATGACTGCATTTGTCTGTCATGTATTTTTGTGGGAGTATGTGCTGTAGTGAGTCTGTTTGAGGTGCCACAGGCGCCTGTGTACAAGTAAGAAGTACTAAAGGCACTACCATTCGGGAATATTGAAACTGGGATGTTTTAGACTGATTGGACTGATTTTAGATTCAATATGCAAATAGGACAAGAGACCAAGCAAGACAATGTATCCAACTGCATAAGAAAGCGCCGCTGGAACTTCATCGGCCACGCACTCAGAATGGATAAGACAAGACTTCCTATCAGGCCCTCACATGGACACCGGAAGGGAAAAGAAAACGGAGAAGTCCAAGAGAAACTCTATGTAGAACCATCATCAAGGAAGGCTCAACCACGGGCCTAACAAACATCCAAGACCTAAAGCAGGTGGCAACGAACCGCTAGATATGGTGAGCTATGACCTCTGCTCTATGCACCGCCATAGGCTCAAGAAGAAAGACTAACTAATTTGTACCCCAAATAATATCTACTTCTTCTTCTTCAGCATTCTGAGCCCTTGAGGTTCATTGCTGCAGATATCACCTGCCTCCATTCATCTCTCTGATTGGCCTTCTCTTTCCAGTTGGTGACACCAAGTGTTTGCAGGTCTGTCTGGACATTACTCTCCATATTCTTCTTGGTCTGCCTCATGGTCTACGACCATTCATCTCCCTGGTGTATACAGTTTTTACTTCTCTGTCATTTGACATTCTTTCAATATGCCCTAACTATTTCAGTCTATTAGATCTCATGATGCCAGTGAACAGTGGTAATTTAAACAGATTATGAATTTTGTTGTTGCTTCTCACTCTCCATTCCCCGCTGTTTGCATCTTTGATGGGTCCAAATATTTGCTGTAAGACTCTTGGAAACTGTAATAAGGCTTCATCTCTTTTAGTTATGCTCCAAGTTTCAGAGCCATATAAAATGATGGTCTTTTCAAAGTTTTTTAGATTTTGATTTTAGTGTTGCAAGCAGACACTTTGACTTTAGAAGATGTTGGAGGGCATAGTATACTTCATTTCCAGATTGTATTCTAGATAGTATTTCTTCTCTAAGCATGTTGGAGCAGTTAAAGTTTGCACCCAATTACTTTTATGTTTCTGTCCATTTGATTTTCATAATATCAACTTGTATGTGGCCTGAGTTTATATCCTTTCCCTGTCTAGTTATTATCATGTATTCTGTCTTATCTTGATTGATAACTAGTCCCATTTTCTGAGCTGAGTCTTTTAAGACATTCAGTGTTTTAACGGTCCTTAATTCATTTTTTCCAATGATATCAATGTCATCTACATATCCAAGTATTCTTGTAGTGTCTCCTATAGTACACTCTTGTTTAAATTTCCTTATAATTTTCTCCAGGGCCAAGTTGAAAAGAAGTGGGGACAGAGCATCATTTTACTTTAAACCAGATATTACTTGAAAAGGGTCTGACTTTCTGCCTTTTTAAAAAACATCTTCCATTTACATAGTTTGGTCATGGTAATTAACTTCTTTGGTATTCCTAAGTCCTTCATAGCATTCCATAAACTGATTCTGAATAATATCTACTAGGGGTAAAATATAATTTATATATGCATTTGCAGCCAGTGTCTAAAGACTATGTCATCAAAAATCCATAAATGCCGTGAAAATTGCTTTCTCTGGGTGACAGGGTTCAAGCTGACCGACACTTCATCTTGTCCATCTGTTCATATTTTCATAAGTTTTACCATAGTTTAACTCATTTCATTATGTTGCATTTATAACTGTGTAATGGGATCAATCAATCATGGCATGGTGATTTCAGTCACAGGGGCAAGGACAGTTAAATGCCAATGTGATGTGTCTTCTTCTTCATGTTCACTGGCTGTAAACTCCAGGAGAAAGTTTTAAGTGTTTGTCCGCCTCCAGTCTTCAGTTCTGTTCCAGAACCTGAGTGTTGTGTGGACATCTGTTCCAGAACCTGAGTGTTGTGTGGACATCTGTTCCAGAACCTGAGTGTTGTGTGGACATCTGTTCCAGAACCTGAGTGTTGTGTGGACATCTGTTCCAGAACCTGAGTGTTGTGTGGACATCTGTTCCAGAACCTGAGTGTTGTGTGCACATCTGTTCCAGAACCTGAGTGTTGTGTGGAGATCTGTTCCAGAACCTGAGTGTTGCTGGCACATCTGTTCCAGAACCTGAGTGTTGTGTGGACAACTGTTCCAGAACCTGAGTGTTGCTGGCACATCTGTTCCAGAACCTGAGTGTTGTGTGGACAACTGTTCCAGAACCTGAGTGTTGTGTGGACATCTGTTCCAGAACCTGAGTGTTGTGTGGACAACTGTTCCAGAACCTGAGTGTTGTGTGGACAACTGTTCCAGAACCTGAGTGTTGTGTGGACATCTGTTCCAGAACCTGAGTGTTGTGTGGACAACTGTTCCAGAACCTGAGTGTTGCTGGCACATCTGTTCCAGAACCTGAGTGTTGTGTGCACATCTGTTCCAGAACCTGAGTGTTGTGTGCACATCTGTTCCAGAACCTGAGTGTTGCTGGCACATCTGTTCCAGAACCTGAGTGTTGTGTGGACATCTGTTCCAGAACCTGAGTGTTGTGTGGTGTTCCAGAACCTGAGTGTTGTGTGGGACATCTGTTCCAGAACCTGAGTGTTGTGTGGACATCTGTTCCAGAACCTGAGTGTTGTGTGTGGACAACTGTTCCAGAACCTGAGTGTTGTGTGGACATCTGTTCCAGAACCTGAGTGTTGTGTGGACATCTGTTCCAGAACCTGAGTGTTGTGTGGACAATCTGTTCCAGAACCTGAGTGTTGTGTGGACATCTGTTCCAGAACCTGAGTGTTGTGTGGACATCTGTTCCAGAACCTGAGTGTTGTGTGGACATCTGTTCCAGAACCTGCACATCTGTTCCAAAACCTGAGTGTTGTGTGGACATCTGTTCCAGAACCTGAGTGTTGTGTGGACATCTGTTCCAGAACCTGAGTGTTGTGTGGACATCTGTTCCAGAACCTGAGTGTTGTGTGGACATCTGTTCCAGAACCTGAGTGTTGTGTGGACATCTGTTCCAGAACCTGAGTGTTGTGTGGACATCTGTTCCAGAACCTGAGTGTTGTGTGGACAACTGTTCCAGAACCTGAGTGTTGTGTGGCACATCTGTTCCAGAACCTGAGTGTTGTGTGGACATCTGTTCCAGAACCTGAGTGTTGTGTGGACATCTGTTCCAGAACCTGAGTGTTGTGTGTGTTCCAGAACCTGAGTGTTCACAGAACCTGAGTGTTGTGTGGACATCTGTTCCAGAACCTGAGTGTTGTGTGGACATCTGTTCCAGAACCTGAGTGTTGTGTGGACATCTGTTCCAGAACCTGACCTTGTGTTGACATCTCATGCCAGAACCTGATCTGACACAGAACCTGAGTGTTGTGTGCACCGCAGACAGCACCTCATGCTGTGACCAGAACCAGAGTGTTGCAAGACTCCAGTGCAAGACATCTGTTCCACACCCTGAGTGTTGTGTGGACATCTGTTCCAGAAACCTGAGACAGAACCTTGTTGACTCCTGACACACACCCTAGTGTTCCAGAAACCCTGAGACTCCTGACCACACCCCTCAATCAGTGGTGTGCAAGATCATGCTGTTCACAGACCCTGAGTGGTGTGTGTGCAGACTCTGTTGCAAGACCTGACTGTTGACACACACCCTAGTGGTGCACAGCAGACAGACCCTCATGCAAGACTCCTGACACACACCCTAGTGGTGTACCACAGACAGACCTTCATGCAAGACTCCTGACACACACCCTAGTGGTGTACCACAGACAGACTCTCATGCAAGACTCCTGACACACACCCTAGCGGTGCACCACAAACAGGCCCTCATGCACGACTCCTGACACACACCCTAGTGGTGCACCGCAGACAGACCTTCATGCAAGACTCTTGACACACACCCTAGTGGTGCACCGCAGACAGACCCTCATGCAAGACTCCTGACACACACCCTAGTGGTGCACAGCAGACAGACCCTCATGCAAGACACCTGACACACACCCTAGTGGTGCACCGCAGACAGACCCTCATGCAAGACTCCTGACACACACCCTAGTGGTGCACCGCAGACAGACCCTCATGCAAGACTCCTGACACACACCCTAGTGGTGCACCGCAGACAGACCCTCATGCAAGACTCCTGACACACACCCTAGTGGTGCACCACAGACAGACCCTCATGCAAGACTCCTGACACACACCCTAGTGGTGCACCACAGACAGACCTTCATGCAAGACTCCTGACACACACCCTAGTGGTGCACCACAGACAGACCCTCATGCATGACTCCTGACACACACCCTAGTGGTGCACCGCAGACAGACCCTCATGCAAGACTCCTGACACACACCCTAGTGGTGTACCACAGACAGACCCTCATGCAAGACTCCTGACACACACCCTAGTGGTGTACCACAGACAGACCCTCATGCAAGACTCCTGACACACACCCTAGTGGTGTACCACAGACAGACCTTCATGACCTGACACACACCCTAGTGGTGTACCACAGACAGACCCTCATGCAAGGACTCTGACACACACCCTAGTGGGTGCACAGCAGACAGACCCTCATGCAAGACTCCTGACACACACCCTAGTGGTGCACCGCAGACAGGCCCTCATGCAAGACTCCTGACACACACACCTAGTGGTGCACCGCAGACAGACCCTCATGCAAGACTCCTGACACACACCCTAGTGGTGCACCACAGACAGACCCTCATGCAAGACTCCTGACACACACCCTAGTGGTGCACCACAGACAGACCCTCATGCAAGACTCCTGACACACACCCTAGTGGTGCACCACAGACAGACCCTCATGCATGACTCCTGACACACACCCTAGTGGTGCACCACAGACAGACCTTCATGCAAGACTCCTGACACACACCCTAGTGGTGCACCACAGACAGACCCTCATGCATGACTCCTGACACACACCCTAGTGGTGTACCACAGATAATAGCTTTCTGTCATCCTAAACTAAACTGGCCGGGATCTCTGAGTTGCTGACCCCAGAGATGCAGTGCCCAGAAAATACTTGGCCCTTGTCATCCAACCTCTCTTCAAAGGTGATAATCTATAAGGAAAACTCATTTGGAACATGTGTAAGTCTGCTGGCTTAGTACCCTACTAAATGACGGACTCAGGTTAAATGTCTCATCCAAAAGTCCTACTATATGACAAACCTTAATTCAAACATCTGTCGACTAAAACCCTTCTGAATGACTCCTGCTGCACAGGCTCAAATTTCTGTCCATCGACTGTCCTACCAACTGTATAACATCAAAAGTTTACATGTACCTAGCTCAAAGATCCTACTTTATGATACACAAGGTGAAATGTTCGCTACCAAAGACCACACTGAACAGAGTGTAAGGACCACACAAGAAAGCCATGCCTGATGCATGCTTTCCATAAATGCAGCAAAAAGTGTCAGGCTCATCAACATGAAAGATGGCATGGTCAAAAATAGAAGTCTAACATGATGAGAATGCGAGATGCCAATTTGTGCAGGAAATAAGTTTCTCGGGACTGCAGACTGCTTCCTGGAGATCCCCCTAAAGTGGGAAAGGCTCAATAAACATATGTGGAGCTGAGCAGTCATGTTCAGGGCATGATGATTTCCTGTGTGAGCCTAGTACCAGAGCGCAGTGTATCAGCTCTACATTAAGGAAGCCTACTTGGATGGTGGGGAATGCCCATGATCTGCCGATGTGTTTCCTTGAGAGTCAACCAGGCTGCACGCACCTGATCTCAAAAGGTCCTCTAGGGAAAACACCTGTGGATTAGGCGATGAAGTCACTGGACATATGAGGCCACAAATGTCCTAGGAAACTAGACCAGAAGGCTCAATCAGATAACAAATGCCTCAAAAAGTTGGATGTGTTAGCTAAAAGCACACGAAAAAGTTGGATGTGTTAGCTAAAAGCACACGAAAAAGTTGGATGTGTTAGCTAAAAGCACACGAAAAAGTTGGATGTGTTAACTAAAAGCACACGGAAAAGTTGGATGTGTTAGCTAAAAGCACAAATATTACAGCTATGCTGTAAGCAGGCAAAATACAGTTCAGTCACATGGACAAACAAGTCACATGGACAAACAAGTCACAAGGACAAACAAGTCACATGGACAAACAAGTCACATGGACAAACAAGTCACATGGACAAACAAGTCACATGGACAAACAAGTCACATGGACAAACAAGTCACATGGACAAACAAGTCACATGGACAAACAAGTCACATGGACAAACAAGTCACATGGACATACAAGTCACATGGACAAACGATGAAGCAGAAAAAGAATCAATCAGGTGCCATCTCTAAAATGTAGGTTGACTTATTTACACTCTCTAAGACTGTTGTTTGTCCATCTCTTGATGTCATCCTATGATTTCTAATGCCATCTTCCTCTTAACCCTACCAGACCTGAGGCCCTGAACCTAACCGTCCCCTACACCTGAGGCCCTGAACCTAACCGTCCCCTATACCTGAGGCCCTGAACCTAACCGTCCCCTATACCTGAGCTCCTGGGCAGTAACGCGAAAAAACCAACATGATATACAAAAAAATTTGTTAAATGCAAACAAGTGGCTAGAATAAGATGAAACTTGGAAACATAGTAGAAAATAGGTTAACCTTTTATCTAGCACCAATATTCCACCTTTGTATGCCAATCCACTCCAGATTGTTTCACAAAGTCAGCTGTTGCTGTTTGAGGGGCACGCCCCCTTCTCTTACTACCGATCTATTTCTAGACTATAATTGTCCAGATTCTCCTCATTATCGAGCTGAATAAGTCACTTTAACTGTGAACATATTCTTCATGAAATTATGACTCCACATAGTCTGAATAAACCAAAGTATTGATCACCTGTTGGACTGTGAAAAGCCTACACCTAATTTACTTTCCTGTCGAAGTGCTTGGTTCATCAGCCGCTTGTTCTATTGTAAATTTTCCTAATTTTTTTCACGTAAAACAACAAATTTTATCCAAACACACAAGGGCGGACATCTAGGAAGACTATCTACGAGATCTGATTACGATTGGCTAGTTATTTTTAGTTTGTGACCATCTTTTTCACGCACCATGCAAAAGGCTGAAAATTAGGGACAGCGGTATAGCGTCAGGTTAAAAAATTTCAAAAAATCGGGCCAGCGGTCTGGTAGGGTTAATTAATCCGGTGAACTGTGACTAACTGGTCTGTGTCGGGAAAGGCTCTCGCTGAAACGTCAGATTTTTGTATGTGTATGGTGTTCTCCGTCCTCCCTTCATTAAGCTTCTTGAAATCACAGACAGTATTTATAAGGTATTTTTGTTTATCGTCATAATTTATACTTCTGACAAATTTCTATGCAAAGATGTGCAGCAACTTGCAAGGCATCTAGAAAAAAATGGATCTGAACAGTGAAGACAAGCTAGAAAGACCTGTTCAACAGGTGCTTCATCTAGACACTGCTCCCTGCTGATGCTGTCCTAGATCCTTCCATACTGGGCTTATAAGTGGCCTCCAGACTCACAATCAACTAGTGTTTCATGAAGCTAACAGAAAGAGTGGTCCTCATCAACTGTGATAGAGGGACAACATTTTCCACTCATTCAGCACATCAGTGTTCAGCTTTTGTGTTTTAATACCTAATATACCTTTTATAATACTCTTTTAATATCTAATATACCTTTTATAATACTTTTTTAATACCTAATATACCTTTTAGAATCTTCTTCTTCTTCTTCTCTTCCACCTTGTACCTCATCGAAGTGTCGGGGGGAGATGTAATGTTCGTTGATGAGCTCTGTCAAGAGCACTATTAAGACTGATGTTCATTTCTGTAAGGCTGTTCTTAATGCCATCACTCCATCTTTTCCGAGGTCTTCCACTCGCTTTATACCCGTTGTAACGTTTTAGTGTGGCTCGCTGTGGCAGATAGTACCAGGGCATTCTTGTTAGGTGTCCAAACCATTTCATTTGTTGTTCTTTGATGACCTGTAAGACCGGCTTTATTCCTAGCATTCGTCTGATTTCATGATTTTGTATTCTGTCTTTCCTTGAAACTCCTGCAGCTCTTCTAAGGCATTTCAACCTTTTAGAATACTTTTTTAATACCTAATATACCTTTTATAATACTGTTTTAATACCTAATATACCTTTTATAATACTGTTTTAATACCTAATATACCTTTTAGAATACTTTTTCAATACCTAATATACCTTTTATTATACCTTTTTAATAGCTAATATACCTTTCATAATACTTTTTTAATACCTAATATACCTTTTATAATACTTTTTTAATACCTAATATACCTTTTAAAAATACTTTTTAATACCTAATATACCTTTTAAAATACTTTTTTAATACCTAATTTACCTTTAAGAATACTTTTTAAAAAAAACTACCTAACCAATAAATATTGGTAAATACGGTAATGGATTGAAAAAAGTTGAACCAGAAGATTTAGGGACAGGGACACTAATATTGTAAATAACTCTGAAGCAAAGCAAAAAACTCACCTGTCTTGTGTATATGAACTTTATCAACAACTCGTCTCCTTTTCTTAGGTGGGTCTGGAATGCAAGTGTGAGGATGGTCTACCCATAAAATGTCATTTAGCCAATAAAACATAGGATCTTCTGACTGCATCAGAGAATCATAAGTTCTTTTAAGATAATTAATGTCTTCATCATCAACTCCATGGTGATAAATGTCAAAGAATACTTGTCGTTCTTCGTGTATAGTTCTAGATGTGAAGGCGATTTTTGGTTTTGGTTCCACATCCATTAGTATATTAGCAAGTTCTCTGTTTACTTTTGACCTGTTTGTAACATCTATCAGCCTTTTGTTTCCCTTATACTTTTTACTATGTGTTGCAGCAGCAGCAGCAGACTGCTTCTTTGACTCTTTCTTGTGCACTTTTGAAATGACTTCATCTATTGTTGCATCAATCTTAGCTTCCATTTCTTTTGAAAGTTTGCCTACTTTAAAAGGCTGCTCTGAATGAGGAGGTGGTTCTTTAACATTCATTTGTGCAGAAGGCAAACAGTAGTTATGATCTATCCAGATCTCCTGAGTTATACGCATTGCTTCATCATCAGCAGAATCTGTTTCCTCTGATTCGTTACCCTCAGGCTGGGTTAGGAAATAATCATGCTCAGCAATAGCAGAATTCCGCAGCTTTTTAATATGTTCATCATCAGATACAATATCTTCAGCTGCTAATTGACCAGTATTGGACAGAGGAAGAGTTCTGGTCAAATGTTCATCTTCATGCACTTTATGTCCTGCCAGAGACATTAACACTTGAGCTGCTTCAGCATCTGTTGAATCTGGTACATTGTGATCTTCTGTTTGATATATGTTTAAATCTTCAGTATTGCTGCTATTTCTGTGTCTGCACTTTCTTTTCTGATTCCTGTTACCTCTTCCTTGCAAAAACCTGATTTCTTCAAATGCACTCTTGTTCCCATCTGTAAGACTGATATCTAATGAAGTCTGCTCTTTACTCAACTCATTTTGTTCATCTTTTTGCAAGGACATGTTCTGACTTTCTGATTCCTCAAGTGAATCCCTGAAATAAAATAAAACAAAACTTGTTATTTAAGGTCAGGTTTAAAAAAAAAAAGGGGGGGGGGGGGGGGCCATGGGGCTGAGCTGCATGCAACAGCAAAAGACAAGATGACCTGGCAAGAGGTAGTTGACAGCTTGTGATCCATTGGAGGGATAAAGGGCAGAAAAAGAAGAAATATTTCAGGTGTTTTATATTACTAAGCTTACATTCGTTATATTATTTTGGCAAAGCTATTAAGGTACAGGCTGGGTTTTTTTTTAAAGTGCCTATACAATTTTCTTTATACAACTATTAAAGAATGTAACCTGTTGGACCATAGCCGTCTTCTAGAAACTACATTTTCACAAGGCTGATTGGAAAGAAACACATCTTTATAATTATTCTGAACTCTAACATAAGAAAATAGAAAATGACGAAGGTGACGAAAAAGAATTAGAAGAGAAAAATGAGGAAAAAGAAGAAGAAGATGAGACAATGACAGTCACCCACATTTGCATCCGAAGGACTGTTTCTGACAGTACCATACATTGGCTAAGCTATAATGAAATCATTGCAGCTAAAGTCTGCATATACCTGTACACATTCAATACTGCATTATGGTCCACTAGCTGCCATTATTTCCTGTGACATTTTGTTGAGCGCTCTATTAGAATTCACTGCCTCTCAGTGCTAAACTAACCCAGAAACTTATAACTGAAGAAATTGTTAGGAAATTTAACAAACTTTGAAATGTTATTCTCACATTTAGATTTTCACTGCTCTTGTGGATGCAAAACCGTGGAAAGCAAAGACATTTTTTTGTAAAATTTCATCTTTGAAAACTAACACCTGCTAAATTCTTCTTTTTTCTACTAACTTGATTGGCACCTTTCCATCTTTCCACATGACAGTGTTATATTATGCTTTGAGGAGGCATGTGGCTCACAGTCCACGGCGATGGCCAGTGTGACTAGCAAAACTCGCCAGCGTTTAAAAAAAGTCTTCCACAATGATAGCATGGGATTTCAGGACCACTGTTGTCAACATTTGTGTTTAGTCTGTTACTTCTCAGATGCTCAGCCCTCATCCTTTCTGCTAACGTTTCTTCTCAGATGCTCAGCCCTCATCCTTTCTGCTAACGTTTCTTCTCAGATGCTCAGCCCTCATCCTTTCTGCAAACGTTTCTTCTCAGATGCTCAGCCCTCATCCTTTCTGCAAACGTTACTTCTCAGCCCTCATCCTTTCTGCAAACGTTACTTCTCAGATGCTCAGCCCTCATCCTGTCTGCAAACGTTACTTCTCAGATGCTCAGCCCTCATCCTGTCTGCAAATGTTACTTCTCAGACGCTCAGCCCTCATCCTTTCTGCAAACGTTACTTCCTTCAGTCTCATTTCCTTCCTAATGTGCCCCCTCCACAAAACATGGTCCATGGCCTTTTGTTCCCAAGCCTTCACCTCAATACCTGTATCATGCATGCCCTGCTTGCATGCGTCTTTATATCGTAGCAGAGGTCGGCCTTGACATCTTCTACCCGTCTTTACTTCACCATAAAAGATGTGCTTAGGGACTTTGCCATCCTTCATTCTCCAGGTGTGACCAAGCCACCTGAGCCTTCGCAGACTGAGCACTAAAAAAGACTATTGTAATACCTGCTCTTTCCAATACCTCTGTGTTTGTGATCTTGTCCTGTCACTTAATGTCAGGTATTCTTTTGGGCATCACTTGTGAAAGCTATTTAGCCATTTATGCAGGTGCAACACGGGCACAGAGAATGGCTGGAAGGAAGGGGAAGGGCAAGGAGGGGTGTCATTTCACAGACAGACCCCAATGATGGAGATAACAGAGATACAGTTAGAGAAGACCTGGCAGCCATCTTAAAGAACAAACATTATGAAGACATCATACACAGGTGCAAGATGTCAAACATGTTCTGAAAAAGGATGAAAGACACTGCACCAGGGCCTGGCATGATTAGATATTTCCACATGGAAGACATGAGTGATGCAGACCTGGTGGAGATGACAGCTTGCTTCAATCAGAGCATTGGGACAGCTTCAGTCCCAGAAGAGTGGATGCATAGCTACCTGATTCCACTTCCTAAACCTGGCAAGGACAATTCAACACTCAGCGGCTTTAGGATCATATCCCTACAAAACAGCTTTGGTAAAGTGTTGGAAAAGATAGTGACAGGTAAGCTACACAAATTTTCGGAGCAGAGAAAGCTGCTTCCAGGAGGTTTGGGAAGTTACCGGCGGGGGAAAGACGCAAGGTCAAATGCAGCCACTTTTGCTTTTGACACTTTGATGGTTTCTAGATCAGACAGGTAATGGTGGCAGTGGCACTTGATTTAGACGATCCTTACAACAGAGGCAGATACAGTATCTTGATGAAAGCGCTTATGGAGAATTAAGTCTGTCCTTGGTTGGTCAACTGGATAGCAGGCGCTTTGTATACTCACCGGGTAGCTCTCAGCCTGGGTTCATGGACCTCTGGACCATGTATTATGGCTCCAGGACTACCACAGGGATCTGCAATTTCACCTGTGCTGTTTAGTGTGTTTACGAGCAAGATTACATTTCTTTTACAATCAACTGTAGCATGAGGTAAACAAAACTGCTAAAAATCACATAGTGGTAGTAATGGGATATTTGAACGCAAAAGTAGGTAGTGAAAATATGGGTGCTGGAAAAGGAAGAAGTTACCACAATGAATGAAAATGGAGAAAGACCAGGTGAATTCTGCAGGCAGCCAGATCACAGGCTGCACTTTCTTTGCACACATGGCATTTACCAGGTGGCACGACTAAAAATCTAACAGACCACCTCTGTATAAACAATCAATAGAGAAGCTCTTTGATGGATATCTCCCCATAGAGAGAGCAGTGACCACATCTTATGTGTAGGAAAACCCAAGCTTAAATTAATAACTATTGCAAAAACACACGTACAACAAAGAATAGTCAGAGACTGACAATGAAATGTAAGAGAACAGATCTAGCTTCACCAGAACAATAGACCTGAGACTCTTCAAGTGGACAGAGATCACAGCATTGAGGACAAATGGACTCATGTCAAAGAACATCATTTTTAGAAGCAGCAACGAATAAGAAGTCTCTATATTCAATGGAAAGAACCGTCCAGGTCGTTAGGCTCAATATTCCATTTAAAAAGCTACAGGTTTTGAGGAAAATGAGTAAACACAAATGTTAAAAGACATCACTCACTCTTTTTCTTCACTATCTTCATCTTCCTCTTCTGTTTTTATTTCTCCCGATTCTTCCTCCCTGAAAAAATGCATGAAAGAAAACATTAAAGTAGTTCGCAAGTTCTTTTGTTGTTGTTGTTGCTTTGCGCGATCTTTCATAATGAAACAATTTGTTTTGATGAATCACACTCTTGATGTTTTCTGATAGAATTCATTGAAGTAAATACCATGGCTAAACTCACACGACAGACAGACACACATGGCTAAACTCACACGACAGACAGACACACACGGCTAAACTCACATGACAGACAGACACACATGGCTAAACTCACACGACAGACACACACACATGGCTAAACTCACAAGACAGACACACACACATGGCTAAACTCACAAGACAGACACACACACATGGCTAAACTCACAAGACAGACAGACACACATGGCTAAACTCACATGACAGACAGACACACATGGCTAAACTCACAAGACAGACACACATGGCTAAACTCACAAGACAGACAGACACACATGGCTAAACTCACAAGACAGACAGACACACATGGCTAAACTCACAAGACAGACAGACACACATGGCTAAACTCACAAGACAGACACACATGGCTAAACTCACAAGACAGACACACACACGGCTAAACTCACACGACAGACACACACACATGGCTAAACTCACAAGACAGACACACACACATGGCTAAACTCACAAGACAGACAGACAGACAGACAGACAGACAGACAGACAGACAGACACACATGCAAGCAACTGCCTGGCTGCTGGCTAAGAGGTTATAAACTGCCCCCCCCCCCCCTCCAAATGGTAATTAAATTCAAAGTATTTCGATTTAATTGTCTCAAATAAAGATTAGCTGATGTATAATGGAATAGAGGAGGTATAAAAATTGATGTTGTATGTTTAAAACATTTTCATGTGCGTCTAACATTCTTGAATGCTGCATTATTTTAATATTCTGTTGTCATTCTGAGCCTTAAAAAGTTTAGATGTATTTGTTATTCATTGATCTTTAATGTGATCAGGAGGAGGGCTGTCACTATTCAGCAAATATTTGTCTTCAGAAAGGTTGAAGTCATCTCAGGGGGTCTCAAAGAAACTCAGTCTCTAGCCAGTTCTCCTGCCTCTTGCACTTGTCTGCCCTAGGTGTCTTCTACATTATTTGCTCATGT